ACATTAACCTCATACCCTTGTACTAGTAAGAACAAATCTGTTTTATTTCTCCTTCAGTGAATATAAGAATAAGAATAAGAGATCTTGAAATTTTAGTGATTTTAGTAAGTTACTGTGACAACTTTTCCTATTCAAACAAACCAGTTTCATTAAATAATATAAACCAATATGTACAAAAGTTTTTAAAATGCACAGAAAATTGAGGTAGCCGGTACTAACACTGAGGGTAATTTGCCATTTATCCCACTTATTGTTACAAATGCTCACATTGAGAACCATTTTCATTAATACAAGTCTCTACTCTCCACAAAAAAAGCTGCTTTTAACTTTCCTTAGTAAAGGGTATCTGGATGGACGTTGTGACACTCAATTATGATTGCATGTCTCAATTCGTCAAGAGAGCGTGGACGTTTCGTGTACACAACCCATTTTAGATGCCCCTAGGGGTAAGATCTGCTGATCGTGGTGGCCACTCCACAGGCCCCCTCCGTCCAGAGTAGAGATTTTATTATTAATTAAAACGGTGCTCAATTTGAGCATCTGTAACAATCAGTGTGTTTCAAGATAGTGCGCGACTTTTTGGACACCGATATACTTTTGCAAACAGATTTATATAAAAACATTGTTCGTGAAGAAGATAAGTCAAACTCTCCACCAGTCCACTCCTCCTTTTTTTCACATTCCCCAGGCATAGCATGATTCATTCGTGGTACTATAACAATCTAATAAATTCCTGAAGTTTCGAAATGGAAGGCCTGTACACTTGTATCAACTTAAACATTTAAAATTCGCCCGTATTTACAAACTCAAGAGACATTAGATGGCTAATGACCCTAAGATGGACAAAGTGAATTATAAAGAGAAAAAAAATACTGGCGCTTTGGAAAGGTGATGAGGCATTGATAACGGCCTCTGACCGTCTGATGCAGTTCTCGTAGCAACCATTTACACCGTACATTACAAGAAAATGGGCTCGTGTTCACCTCACTCGACATAAATCATTAATCGGATTGTTAGCGCCCCGGCCATTTCTTTCTACTAACTGGCTCAAATGTCTTTGAAATTGAGAGGGGGAAAATGTAATGCAGTGCGCCCCACTTCAGCTGTCACTGGAGCCATGTGCACTGGCATGCCATTGCCTTAATTAAATGGTTGATCCTAGCTTGAGTTTCCCCCAATAATAAGTATGAGAGTCCGAATGGAAGCACGTGCGCGAGATCGTGCGTGATCACGTGACGAACGGAATACGCTTT